GAAAATTATAGTCGAAAATCTGATGAAAATTTCCTTATATAATGTTTAGCGCGCGCGTAATTTGCACTAAGTTTGATTAAGATTGGTGCAGGCAATACGGAGATCTCGAAATCTCGCTCGCTAAAAAATCCTTTTATTTTCGCGCATACACTGTTAAATATTGGAGGGTCAAATTTAAACCAATTTTTTGAGTTAAATAATAGTATATTTAGTTATTTTTAACTATCATGTATGTCAAAATTTATTATTTTAATACAAAACATATGTTTAAAAAAATAACCACATCTAATCAACCCATTTAAAACAATATTGTCATTTTTTACTAAAACAAAGGTTACATTAACGTGCACATAATAAAAAATAAACTAAATTTTAGTCAAATTTAATATATTTCTTAAGTTAAATTATTTAACTCCATTACATTAGTTAAATTAACGACATATTTAGTAAGAGCAATGACGACTTATAGGAATGGTTAAAAATAACTCAAATTGAGTATAATTTGACACTACGGATTTAACAGTGTAACATTATATTTTTACAAAAGCCAAACGCATGTAAAAGAACTTAGTATTGAACAAAAAGATATTATCGTTGTTTAGTCTACGTAATTCGTCAATAAAAATCATAGAAATAAAACTTACGAATTTCTAAAACTCGATATTTGCTAATTCAGCATATAAAAGAATGAGAAATATACCAAGTATGAATTTTTTATGACTTAACAGATGAAACAAATTACGTTTATATTAGTTTCGATAAAATACAACATTTAATATATGAGATATAGAAGTATGTCGCTTTAGAAGGCCTATGTTGCTTTTGGCTACTTTCCTCTACTATAAATTATGGCGGAGAAAACCTTTTCTTCATTAAATTTTCCTACACTGTTAATAATCTTGAATGTATGTTATTCTACTATTTTATTACAAAAAATATGAATGGAGTCAGAAATAACTATGATCTCCTTTAACCGATAACCCAATAACCGATCAATAACTCAAAGTTTCACGTTGATGGAGGAATTTCGCGTTCAGCTTAAGTTCTTTCACACACAACGAGTGTGCAGTCAATAATTGTCAGACACTCTGTCGTGTCTGTGTTGAACAATTTCGCGTCGCAACACTCCGCGGCCTTTTGCCGGCCTATATGAAGAGCATCGCGATTCTTCACAAGAAGAGAGAACGCGCGCGACACGTGCATGCGTTAAAAAATTTTTCACACGTGTTCCGGGGAAGTAATGAGAATTGCTCGTTCTTCGCGCAGGTACGCCTCGCGCGTACGCGAGCGTGTGTAGGCGCGCGTGAGCGCTGGGAAGGGAAATTCGACGCATGCTTCCTTCCTTAACGCTTGTACTCGGGAGGGGATCTTGAACCAAGGGGTTCAAGTTGCCGCGACGCTTCGTATTAGATCTCCGTCGTTCGTTTTAGCAACACCGGAAAGCTCGTGAGTACGTCGCGAATAGCCAAATTTCCATTTTTATCGTCTTCTAAGCGGACCTCGCGTCATGAGCCTCTCGTATATTTCCCCCGAGTAGATCGCCGGCTCCACTTGCTCGTTCGCTCTTCTCGTTTCCTGTGCATGCAACCGTCTCGTGATCGCTCGAATTACTTGCGCCAGGAAACGCGAAACATGATAAACAAGCGAATCTGTGCTTCGGATACTGCATCGTCGATCGCGTGGATCGTGGCGTTCCATTTTCCCGCCCGCGCGCTTCCAGCGCTAAACAGTGCTTAAATTCGCCCCTTTTGCGAACTCACCTTGCGAATACACTTTCGAACCGTATCTTTTGACGTAGTGCGCGCTAAATTTTGCGACAATTATTTTCCCCAAAATATTGAGATCTCAAGCACTTTCATTTTCAACTTCATCTAACGTTCGACATCGAGTGCATCGCGAGACGTATTCTGTTCATGGCTCGCGAGTGATTCTCATCATCTGATTCTCGACGGTCTACTTAAGCCTCACATACTTTGAGACGTAAGTCAAAATAATATTTTCTTAATGTAAGAGTTCGTTTGAATTATTTAGGTTGATTGTCTAACATCTACCGTCTAACATCACCGTCTCGATATTAATATATCCTTTCTTTTCACTTAGTTGTTTTTGGAAACGTTGAGAAAACAAATCTATCGCATATTCGCGCACACTCGACATGTTTATCACGGTTCGATGTCTCAACAAAAAGTTTTATTGAATTTTTGTTCAATATCATGAATCTAATTGTCGTGGCGGATTAATTAATATGATAGGTATGTCAATATTGCATGCCAGTTTTGTGAGTTTTGTGGGACAAATGATGGATATTTTTCTTCGCGAATTCTGCTGTGCAATTTAATGTACCGCTCAAATTGCTTGATTTGAACTATACATTGCAGCAAACAGTTTGAAAACAATCTTCACATTATTTAGGCCATATCTCCTCGATGACACTTTTGGAACCGATTCGTCAATTTCGATACATATTTCTCTTTAAAAAAATACGATTTCCCCTGTTGTTGCAAGCAGTTACATATGTCGGTATGTTTCTTAATCACTAATCAGTCAGGAAATTTCATTTCTGACTGACTCATTTAACGTAAGAAGAAGGGGAAGCGTACACACAGAGAAAAAGAATATTCTTATGTTTGAAAATATCTCTATTTTTGACATGCAAATCTTAAAATGAGATTGTATAGTATTAAACAAAGACAAGTTACTCAATGTATTTTATATGATTTATGATTTTTTTATGATATGATCAAAGAAAAGCTTATTCTGATTATTCAAAAATAATTTTTATGAATGAAAAATATTGGATTGAAAATATGATATTTTTAAATGTCGCAAGAAGAGATATCATTATCATCAAAATATCATATTGTATTTCTTGTGAAATTATTATGGTATTCAAACAAGATTACATCATTGAAATTCAAGGCTTTAAAATTCTTCAAACAAAATAGCGTTGCTTATCGTTGTAACAATCGTTACACAAAGCAACGATTGTTAATCTGAGTATGTGAATTAATCTGAGTTTCAAGTGGATACAAATTTTGTATTCCTGTATAAATTTCGCCAGTCACCGAAAAATGCGCAAATTAAAAAAAAAAATATTGTCTCCAAAAAGAACATGTTGAATTCATAATGCAGTCGTATTGCAAACATGAGTAGGCGCTATCGCTCATCTAACACTTTAGTGTAACAAACCGATTTGGTCATTAAGATGCAAGATCAGCGTGTTACTTTAACTGCTTATCTGCTGGCTTGCCGCGCGCGTATTAAATAAATCGATAAACATCTTGTCTCGTGCCAAACTCGATAAGCGGAATGACCGTCGTCGTTGACCGGGATATGCGCGAAGCCCGGTGTGTCGCCAGCTGTCCGGGAGGGTCGGCAAGATCGCGAATAAATATCAAGAGGCGAAGGCGCCGTCTCGCCAATTTATTTGCTTGGGCGTCGCGTGTTGCATTTGCAAAGCGGAAGCTGCGCTGCGAATTGGTATGAGTGAATCGCGCACCGTCGCGGGCATCCACCATCGATTTCGAGTTACCGTGACCGTGTTTTCCATTTCGTTGACCTCTGATTATGCGCCGACGATGCGCCGGTACGTCGAGTTGCGCGGAGAATTCGCACGGCGATTGGAGTCGCGCGACGACGCGAGAGGTCTCCCCCTCGCGAGAAGCCACCCTTGCCGTTTTGTGGCATCCTACACATTTCACTTTCTGTATATTTCTTTCAATTTTCTTTCCCTTCCCTTCCTCCCTCTCCTCCGCCCCTTTATCTGCCTTATTCTTGCTCTAATATTTTTCCTCTACTCTTCCGTTTGCATAACGAAACTGACTTAGGACGAGTAATACGCAATATTTTTCCAAGATGAATCGAAAATACTTGTCTTTTAAATTAACATTTTTCAACTTAACATTAACAGTTGAGGAAATTCCGCGTTGCAAATAACAATATCGAAATTGCGAAGACTGCGGTGAAAGTTTTGATTTCCAATTAAGTTTAAGACTACGAGATTTTTGCGCGCATGTATGTGTGTATTTGTAGGGGAAGAGGAGAGGGCTTTCCCTGAAATATAAAAAATTCTTGCCGAACTTTGGAAACCACTTTTCAAAATTGTCGGAATTGTTTAAGGCGTGCCATCGATTTTCGATAAACTCGGGTACGCGAGATTCTATTTTGTTATTTTGGGAACACGGTATCAGTAATCTCGAGATTTCCTCCGATCCATTACATTACTCCATGTCGTCGCGTGAACTTAGAGGAGACAGGCGTGACATCGGCAAACGTTCAAAGATGCGTCTCCGTTGGAATAAGGAGAGAGCTTCACCTTATTAAATTACTCGAGCCAGTACTCGACCTCGTAAAAAGTATCGATTACGTTGCACCGGCGGAGTGACAAGAGCACATAATTTCCTGCCGATCGTGCTTGTGGAGGTCTTGACGTACACCGCGATGAAATGAAGAATATAATGATTTTATTCCCTTCCGGGAGGATGCTATGTAATTTCATTAGTTATGTAATCTCATTATCTCTCTAATAATTGTCCTTCTTATATGTTATACCATTCTCCGCGTCTCTTTATGAAAAATTGCATTGACAACAGTTTCGTAATGCACAAGTTTATAAAGTACAAGCTACTCTCTTCCCCTGATATTGTGTCGGATCAAACAACTGCTCGGATTCTGTAGATGTATTGAATATTGATTTAAGCGCTTTTAAATTCAGCTTAATTCGTGCTTTTTCATTCACTTCATTTTCATGATTTATATAATAAAGACACTTTTGCTTGGAAAATATTACTATCTCATATATTTTTGACATATTGATCTTCGAGTGAGATTACGTAGAATAAAATAAAGATAAGTTATCTGCACATCAATATATTTTATATTCAATTTATGATCTAATTTACCTATACACCGCGGCTCCTTTGTAAGTTACCGGATACACCGTATAGATTAAAGGCACCAAAAGCGACGTACCACTTTGTTTTTGAAGATTGTCTTAATGTAAAACTCAAAATATATATGTAAATATATATACATGTAGTTGAAAGTACCTCTTATTAGATAATATCATATTTTTACTGAAATTGTTTCTATATTTAAAACAAAAAATGTTTTTGTAAAACGCACAAAAATGGAGTTCCAAGAAAATGGGTGCCAAAAGCGACATATCTATTGGATATATAACATCTATTGCTTATATAACATGTTGCATATATGATAATATTTTAATAAATAGTTTCTTAATGCGTTTAATGGTTGAATAATATTCATTTATTTAAAATATAATATTACAAAAGGGAAATATAATTAAATAAAAACATATCTTTGGCATTTCCATCTTTTTCTCACATATTTTACATATGTTATATTTTTAAACTAAATAGAATTAAACTTTAAAATAAACAAATATCACGTCATAATGGGAGGTTATAATCAAGTTATGTTAGTCACAAAGTATCGCATCTATCGCATACTGTAGGGGATATGTTACTTTAAGACACATTCTCATAAAATTTTTCAAGTTATACAGTGAAAAAATAAGAAGATAAAAATATTTAAAAAATATTTGTACAAAAGCCAAATGCATGTAGAAGAATTTAATATTAAACAAAAAGATTATTATCGCTGTTTGGTCTACGTAATTCGTCAATAAAAATCATAGAAATAAAACTTACGAATTTCTAAAACTCGATATTTGCTAATTTAGCTATAAAATAACAAGAAATATACCACATATGAATTTTTCTTTTAACTTAATTGATAAAACGAATTACGTTTATATTAGTTTCGATAAAATACAACATTTAATAGAGAAATGAGATATAGAGGTATGTTGCTTTAGGAGACCTATGTCGCTTTTGGCTACTTTCCTCTATTTGCGTTAGCGAATACATAATATTGATTAATTTTGCATAGTTTCCTCCGTTCTGTGATTTTAACATCGAAGGCTATTATTCTCGTCAACTGAATAAATTATTTCTCTCTTTCCTGTGATTTTCGCACCAAAAGCTATTATTCTCATTAATTGAATAAATTACGTGACATTAAACAAATGCGCTGGGTCTCTAAATATCTGCCATTCAATTATCGAGCAAACACTTATTTACACTAGAAACACACGAGCCGCCGAAGCTAATTCAAGCGATGAAGCGTTGTTAATTTAATAACGAACGCAAATTAATATTAATTAACCCGCCAGTCCGTACCTCTCCCGAACGACGATCGCGGAGAAGCATACAATTGCGAATAAATTCTCAGGTCGGTGAATCTCACACGCGCAATTTTTGGGAACAAATCAGATATCGTTGCACGAGGGTCTTCAGCATGTATCGCGAGAGATAAAGTCGTGTGTGTGTGTGTGTCTTTTATGAACCCATAGGTAAGAGAAAGACGTTGAAAGTGTTAATAATGTTGCAAACCCAGCACAGCGTGAACGTGCCGCGCTCTTGAGACGCGAATTTGTCAGATTTTATTCGGCGCATTGCATGTACACTCGTGGTCTGAAAGGTTTGTACACCGATTTTTTATAGATTTCGGAACGCGTCCCAACTTCAGAAGAGAGACAACCACTGATTGACACGCCAACGCCGCCACTTATTACGAGAGCAGAAGGATGGCATATACGATATATGCTATCCTTCTGCTCTCGTAATAAGTGGCGGCGCTGCCGTGTCAAGCAGTGGTTTTCTCTCTCCTGAAATTGAGACACGTTCCGAAATCTACAAAAAATCGATGCACAAACCTTTTAGACCACGAATGTACATTGGGCGCGTTCGCGACGGTTTGGGCTAGGATGAAACGTTACACGCGTTGTAACGAATCACTTTAGCATAAACGATCAGTAGCATTGTTAATTAAAGCGTAATAATCGCATGCTTCATCTAATACACGTTTGACTCATTGGCGACGGCAACCTCCTTTAGCATTTTCTGCGAAACGTACTCCAATATACGGCCTTGATGCCTTTAATTCCAATTATCACTCCACGAGAGCCAATATTGAATCGCCGCATGTTCTGGAAATTGCACGATGCCGCTACTTCATTAACTTTCAGCTTTTTTTTTGTTCTTTTTTTCTTTTGCTTTTGCATGTGCGCAGGACACTTTGTCATCCATCTGCATCCTTGACTTGTTCTAATCATGAGGATTCTTTCATACACAGACGTTACATGATTGCGTCACCCCGTATCGATCTTCGTGTCTTCGTTCAGCATTGCTTACCTTTTTAAACTGTTCGTGCGATATAATTATATTGTCAATTCTTATCGCAACAGTTGAAGTCAGTAGCTAATTAGCTACGGTTATTATTTAACCGTTTGCGGATAACAGCTTGCATATTGCAAGCAAGGTCAAACGGAAAATGAACGAAACATTGCTTATTTTGTCGAGCATTTTCCAGATACAACGAGATGGAAGGTTGCCCTCAAAGCAAGGCGCCGGAAAACGAAGTGATCGGACAGCAAAGCAACAAACAGTCCTGCTTGATAGACATGAACGAGCCATGGGACGTAATTCCACGATTGGATCATTACAGGTATATGTTTACGAATTAGTTATGCGCGTTGCACACAAAGCATATCAACCAGAGCCTGGGGTCGCGTCGCGTTGCTTTGCTATGACATCTGACATTCGTGTACATATTGAAAGATTATTAATGTTTTTCGTACATTTACCTGATAACGATTTCTATCGCATTTGACAAATTCGTGGGATGACGCAAGCGAATGAAGCAGTCATTTCGACGTTATCACTTCATGAACCTTTTTGCAGAACGAGCCGTCGCGCGAAGAGACCATCCTTGAATACTTCGCATGTAGGAAATTTAGCAAAGGTGAGAAAACTTTTATACATTCGACACATTTCAATTTAACGTTAAGGGAATGACGGAAAACGGAACTTTTTATTATTTCCTTTTGCCTATTTCTGTTGTTGATTTGTCGAAAGAAACGTTTTGTTATACTGAGAGAAGAAATATCCATAAAATGAGAAATTTTTATTTGGAGTGACTCTGCTAATAATATATTTATTACTAAATCTAAATTTCTTTATTCAAATAAAATAAACAATTGATGAAGTTTTAAAAAAACATGTATTTTTTAGAGTTGAAAAATATTTTATATTGATATAAATTGGTGGATAAATATTTTTCTTATGTCTCAAACATTCTTTTTCTCTCAGTATATTGTGGAATCTTAGCCTTACGGGTAGAAACGTAATGATTTCATCTGATAATGATCTGGAAATAATCGACTTTTTCAAGTCGCTCAATACCGTGATAAATATGGAATGCCATTCTAAAGATCACTTTTTGCTTAATCTATATCTCGCTTGCTACGGTTATCAGATTATTTTATCTACATATCTACGTATCTACGTTCTACCTGTCGTGACGTCATTGTTTATACATATGTATGTGTGCCGCTATCTTTATATTATTTGCCCATAAGAATTGATAATTAAAAGTCAATAATCGACGCTAATACGATTTATATATTGTCCACAGAAATATGTCCATTGATCGCGCAAGTACACCGACACTTTAATTTCTTCCGTAACATGAGTCACAACGATACGGCTTATCGGTCGCATATATTTAAATATTCATTCATTTTCAGTTGCTTCGAAGGACATACGCTTATAATTCCAGACGTCTGACTTCTCGCTAAATACGTGGCGTTATGCAGAAATTGCGTTTTCAATCTTAAAAAAAAAACAAAAAGATACATCAAGATTGATCCCACTGCTTTTGTATCTGCACTCAAATTTGCAAATAAAAAAATTCACGTGATCAATCGAATAACAAGACTACTTCTTTATCAGACATACGTGTGGCGAAAGTGCCGAGGCAAAATCGCGGTTGGATCGGCAGTTAATAGAATTGTGTGGTAGAATGACACTTCCAAGATAATTTATAAACGTAAAACGTATTACCTGCAAAAATTCTATTAGATAACAAAAGGAAGCGCCACACGCTGTGATTTCTCTGACCTTTTTCGAGGTCGATCGAAGTCGCGGAGATAACCACACGGGAGAAACTAGTTTATTAAGTTTACACAGCAGTAAACATCCGTCCGTCGTGAGATTAGAGGAGGTCCATCGTGTGGACGAGCAGAGTGCTCGAGCGCATTGTAGAATTTGAGCTTCTCAATTGCGTGAGACATCATTCTCTCTCTGCGTGATGAAAATTACTTGTTCGTAAAAATCAGTTTTCACACATATACGTGACTCCACAAGCATGTAAAATTTCTCGAACGTATTATACACTTATTAATCCAAAAATTACTATTTTTATCTTATAAAAAGTAGACGAAAAAGGCCGATCGCCGATCTCAAATATCCGAATAAAAATCTCTTTCATATTAGATGTACAACTTTGCTTCCGCCGTTTTTTTTCCGAAATTCGAGGCTTTATTGTAAAAAACTGGTTATATATTTATGATTCAAAGTATTGTCCATCGCTGGCCACTACTTTCTCCCATCTTTCGGGCAGCGTATGAATCTCGCGTCGAAAAAACTGGTCATCTTTTGAGGCGATCCACGAATCGATCCAATTTTTTACTCCCTTATAAGACCGGAAGTGCTGGTCAGCCAGGCCGTGTGCCATTGATCGAAACAAGTGATAGTCAGAGGGAGCAACGTCTGGAGAATACGGCAGGTGGGGTAGGACTTCCCATTTCAACGTTTCCAAGTATGTCTTGACCACTTCCGCAACATGGGGTCAAGCATTGTCATGCTGTAAAATCACTTTATCGTGTCTCTCGTTGTATTGCGGCCGTTTGTCTTTCAATGCTCGGCTTAAACGCATCAATTGCGTTCGATACCGATCGCCTGTGATTGTTTTAGTCGGTTTTAACAGCTCATAATATACTACGCCGAGCTCTGTATTTGGTCCCAGCAAATACAGAGCATGACCTTGGAGCCGTGAATATTCGGTTTGGCCGTCGACGTGGAAGCATGGCCGGGAACTCCCCATGATTTTCTGCGCTTGAGGTTATCAAAATGAACCCATTTTTCGTCCCTAATCACAATGCGATGCAGAAATCCCTTCTGTCTTTGCCTTTCAAGTAGCTGTTCACAAGCAAACAAACGCCGTTTAACATCTCTCGGCTTCAATTCGTACGGCACCCAATTTCCTTGCTTCTGAATCATTCCCATGGCTTTGAGGCGTTTTGAAATGGCTTGTTGAGTCACTTCCAATGATCGTGCCAATTCTTCTTGATTTTGACACGAGTCTTGATTAAGTAATGTCTCCAATTCTGCATCTTCGAAAACCTTCTCTCTTCCACCGCTATGCTGGTCTTCGACGTTAATATCACTGTTCTTGAAGCGTTGAAACCACTCGCGACACGTTCTTTCACTAATAGCGGCCTCATCATAAGTATTTGAGAGCATTCGATGAGCCTCAGCCGCACATTTCTTCATATTGAAGCAGAAAATTAAAACCTCCCGCAAATGACGAGAATTTGGCTCGTAAACTGACATTTTCAATCGAGAATAACTTTATGATGCAGACACAAATCGACTAATGTTTCTATGGGATTATGTTGACAGATGCCCAAGTTTATTGTATGACGTCTATGATCTATTTATTTCGACCACCACTTACTATTAAAGCCATCTATAGGAAAACGACGGAAGCAAAGTTGTACACCTAATAGTTCTGATCGAGTTGATGCTGATCTGTTATCCGATTTATACGAGCTGATGTTATTGCGCAGGTAAATGACTTGATAAAAGATAAAACATATAATGATCAAAATCTTATTAATGATGAAAGTGATTAATAATTAGGATTTTATTAATAATTAGAACCCAATATTTTCACTTTGTACGAATTTAGATGACTGATAATCAATCTGTTGAGAACCACGGGACAAAGAATAATGGTAAAATAAAGCCATTTTTGCCTACCGAGATAAATGTGAAAACATTATCATTTCTTAACTTTGACCAGTTAAATACAGTGATGCTATTATAATTATTCCGAGAACATCTTCCATTTTGAAGTTAAAGTTGTATTTCTCCAAATATTCCCTTACATGTATTGTCGAACTAGTCGACACTGTAGGAGGAAATTTATATCTGCAAATACACAAACCATAAATAACAAGTGCAGGATATTTTCAATATCAGTTAGATGACTGTTTTCCAATATCTAAAATGGCGGATCCAATATGGCGTAATTTTGAATTTAACATTGTTCTATTTTAGGGTTATTTTATATTTTGATAATGTTTACTATCTTTTATTAGACTTTTAGATAAACAGATTTTTAGCTAAATGCAGATTGTGAATTTCTATGTTTTGCAACTTTATAAGGTGACAATTAAAATCATTCAATTTTGTTTCAAGAAGTCGCCATATTGAATGTCCAATTTAAAAAAGAAAAACTATAAATTTATCTTTAACTTAGCTTCGAATATACCTAGTAAAATGTAAAATAGATGAAGTTTTAGTATTATTTACTTTATTTAGTTTTATTTAGTATTATTTACTTTTTTCTCCTAGAAAAATCAATGACTTTTCGCTCAAATAAACACCATATTGGATCCGCAATTTTAAATATCGGAAGTCAGTTATCTAATTGATATTATTAAAAATATCCTGCACTTGTTTGTATATTTGCGGATAGCACTTCCCTCTCACAATATCGACAGGTTCGGTAATACGGTTGTAACGTTATAGTAGATTATCTGAAGAAATACAATTTTAACCTCAAAATGAAAGATATTCCCGGTGTTTTTGGATAATTATAATAGCAATTTTGGGTAATTATAATAGCACTGTATTCAGCTAGTCAAAATTAGTAAGAAATGATAACGTTTTTATGTTTGTCTTGGTAAGTAAAAAACGGCTTTTTTACCATTGTTCTTTCTAGTTGCGTATGCACGGTTAACTATAATTTATCTTTAACTTGTACGTTTCTGAAGATAACTCACTATCAGCCGCATTTCAACGCATATCTGTATTTCTCCTCATGGCGGAAACGTCGTGAAAATTATACAATTGAAACGCGTGGTATCGCGTTTCGGCTTTGAGAATTGCGCGTATTGGCGCGCAAAGAATTGCGCGCTTCTGAAATACGTAAATATTGCATATACGTAATATCGCTTCAGGGTATCGAGAGCCAACGTGAGGAGGTCGAGAAAGACGACGACAATCAGAAGAACCACCAAGGAATAAAATTAGGATGGATCCAGGGTGTCTTCATACCATGTCTGCTGAACATATGGGGCGTTATGCTGTTCCTGCGACTATCGTGGGTAGTCGCGCAGGCCGGCATTGTGCAGAGTAGCGGCATTATCGGAATATCGGCGACTGTTTGCGTCATTACGACGCTTAGTCTTTGCGCAATTAGCACTAATGGGAAAATAAGGGGAGGTGTGTTACATCCCGTATAACGCATAATTCTTTTTTTTTTTTTGAAGGAGTGGCATCGTGGGCGGCCGCGCGCGCGTACTTTTATCGTCTGATATACAGTGGTAACCGTTCCCTTTTTATATCGAGTTGTAAAGACCTTCCTTGGAAAGATTTCTGAGAAAGATTCAATATGTTTACTTGTCGATTCCAACGAGCGAGCGAGCAGACGTGATTACAGCATATTATTGTCTTTTATACATCGATATCAATTTCGTCGATAGTTCAGATCATTTAAAGACGTTTAGCTCGTGAAAAGATGAACTTCTCACAATCAAGAAGTAATTGAGAAACACAATCGATTGACTTGCAGGTGGAGTATACTTTTCCATATCTCGATCTCTTGGGCCGAAGTACGGTGCGTCGATTGGCATCGTGTTAGCACTCGCGAATACGGTAGCAGCTTCTATGAACATAATTGGCTTCTGCGACTCCCTGAACGAGTTGCTCAGGATACACGGCCTGATGATAATAGATAATGACGTGAATGACGTTAGAATCATTGGTATGATGGCTCTTGTCGTCATAACCCTTATCTGCGTAGTCGGCATGGAGTGGGAGTCAAAGGTATTCGTTTATTTCTTTTCAGTGATGTTTCAATAAAACTTTGAAAGCTATGGAAAAAAATAAAGGCCATTACAAATTTTGAATATCGAACAAGTACTTGCTAATTAGTGAGCTAATTAGTACTTGCACTTAGTTAATTATCTGCACTGTACTCTAGACCATATACGTCCCAGATAGCACAAATGTCTCGGAGACATTTCAGAGGCTCATAAATCTTTCAGACATCTCTTCAGATATCTTTCAAACGTTTACGTTGTAAACGGGACATTTGGGCGAATAATGTTTTATACAATCTTCCTTCAGGCACAAAACCTTCTCATTGTTATAATTGTGGCTGCTATTTTCAATTTTCTGATTGGATCCATCATGGGGCCGAGGAGTCTGGAGCAAAAAGCGGAAGGTTTCAAAGGATTCTCAAGTAAGCGCGAATACAGTCGATGAAATAATAACAGCTCGACGATAGTAATTTAATAAAAGTAACGAATTTGTAAAAGGATTTGACAGCTGATAATATTTGATTTCCAGTGGATGTATTTATGAGTAACCTCGCATCGGACTATCGGTTCTCCGAGAAGAGCATGCAAGACTTCTTCTCCGTATTCTCTATCTTTTTCCCGTCAGTCACTGGAATCCAAGCAGGTGCTAACATATCCGGCGATCTGAAGAAACCAAGTCATAGTATACCGATCGGAACTCTACTCGCTTTACTAGTGTCCATGCTCAGCTATTTAATATTCGTCTTCTTTATTGGTGCCGCGACCGTCAGAGATGCAGGTGGCTTTGTGAACGGTACTATCGTGACTTGCGTTGCTGGAATCGACTGCATGTACGGGTTGCATAATACTTATTCGGTGAGATTCAGTTTATTTGAAGATATAATGTATCTAGCGACATTTTGCGTTTCCCTCTTGACTAATGATTGTTTTATAAAAAGACCTTTTAGGTGAAACCGCTGAAACATTTTGTTTTAGGGGAAATAGAGGTGTAGATAGAGGTTGAATAGTTAACAAAAACTACACTGTCCGACAAAATTTGAGTTTCTTTTTCTGTGACGATTGCGGCTATTATTTTTTAGTAAATTCGAGGTCGCTGAGGCCAAACTTGTCAGTAAAAAATACCCATCACGTCAGGTTTTTTAGATAAATCGTGTAATAAGGGTAAAACCTGCGTTTTTTATTCTATATTTATCAATTTTTTATGCTCAAACGAAATTTTATTTTTTAATTTCATTGACACTACTTTAAAGTGCTCTTCTTCACCTTTAAAACGAATTGTTATTTTGTACTGTGCGATTTTTTTTCATCAAGTTATGAACGTTTCCCAAAATATAAAATGTCGGATCCAAATTAACTGGTTGAAACTGAAAAGTAGATGGATTTGTACGAAAATGGATATCCTTATGTTTTTGGGATTGCTAATATTGAATCTGAACTCAAAATTTCGTAATTTTAACAGCGACCCCAAAAACCTCGGGTACTGACTTTGATCCGAATCGAGTCATTTTTCTTATTTCGGTCCGCTATATTGGATCTGCTATTTTGAATTTCGAAATTTTGAGTTCAGATTCGATATCAGCGACCCCAAAGACCCTAATATACTCATTTTCATACAAATTCATCTACTTTCCAGTTTCAATCAACCAATTTGGATTCGAAATTATTCATATTTTGGTAAAAAATAAAAATTTGTTTTAAAGGTGAAGAATTGCACTTTAAAGGGGCGTCAATGAAATTGAAAAATAAAATTTTGTTTGGCCACAAAAAGTTGGTAAATATAGCAAAAAATATAGTTTTTTACCTATATTACTCGCTTCAGCGACTTCGAATTTATTAAGAAATACTGGCCTTTGTCGCCGCAGATTTTTTTGTTGAATTGTGCTATTTAATCTCTCTCTTTCTCTCTCTTGTACAACTACAATCTCTCATACAATTATTGTTTGATGGTAAATTTCCTGGATGCTCTGGATTTAACTAGATCTAACATAGCAGAAACAAGAATCAATGACTGTTTTAATTCATACATTCGTTTTCAACAGGTCATACAACTGATGTCTCTTTGGAAACCGCTAATTTATGCAGGATGCTTCGCAGCTACTCTGTCGACGGCGCTGACGAACATATTGTCCGTTCCGCGAATCATTCAGGCTCTGGGTGAAGATCAAATCTATCCCGGCTTGATTTATTTCAGCAAGCCATACGGGAAGTCTGGAGAGCCTTATCGAGGATATGTTCTCACCTTCATCATTTCAGGTCTCTTTATTTTAATTGGTAAGATTCTATGTCTCTACTATGCAAGAAACTCCTGTTTGGAAAGAAAAGAAACCGAAAAATTCTGTCATCGTTAATTTCTCACTCCGATGAAACTCTTAATCGGTTTTTCTTTTAGCCAATCTCAACGCAGTGGCGCCGCTGATCTCAAACTTTTATTTAGCGTCGTACGCCTTAATTAATTTTTGCGCATTCCATGCGGCGTTGGTTCGACCGCTCGGATGGCGACCCAGTTTCAAGGTAAGTTAGAAATTAACCCGATCAAACGTCATAAGTGACTTTGGAACGGTTTTCTTTTCTTACAGTACTATAACACTTGGGTGTCACTTTTTGGATTTATCATTTGCTTGGCGATTATGTTTCTCATCGACTGGATAACTTCGCTCATCACTTGCGTCATTGTCTTCGCGTTGTACCTGCTAGTAGTTTACCGCGATCCAGATGTAAATTGGGGCAGCAGCACACAAGCTCAAATCTTAAAGATAGCACTTTCCATCATATACAGGTACAGTAATATTGTAATAAGAAAGGTAATTGTTGAACTATATTATTTTTAAGGCGATGCTGCTAGGCTCCCCAATGAAAAATTTTTCATATATAATTATATAAAATTATATAAAATTATATATATTATACATAATTATATATTATTATGTATCAAATTTGTCCATTCATGTTCATACATTCTACTTATATATGTAATTATACATAATTATGTATAATAATATATATAAATTAATATATAATTTTACATAATTACGCATAGATTTATATTTAATTATATATATTGTTATACATAATTGTGTATAATTATATATAATTTTATATGATTATATATAATTATACATAATTATGTATGGACAAATTTCATACATAATTTTGCATGAAAAATTTTTCATCGGGTCGTTTTCGTAGAATACTCTTTTCTTCTAATTGCATACATGAAACTGCAAATGTTTTTACAGCGTGAAAGTATAAGCGATAATGAATACCGGAAACTAAAAAGTAGCATCAAAATCAACAAAAAATTATTTATTTACTATTAAAAGCGTCATATTTAGCTTCATGTGAAAAATTTAGAGCTCATACTTGTAAAATATATAGTTTACGGCATAGAGACGACTTTCAGGAACATTATGAGGCCATCATGAGTGGATTTTAATAGATAGTTTAAACAAAAAGAGAATCCCAATAATAAACGATCTGTGTGTTAGCGTTTGAAAGATCATGTGATAAAAAAGACCTGATTTTTAGTTCACGCATGTCTCAACAGAAAGCGTTGTATCTTGAGCTAGCTTGGAAATGAATACGATACGAAGACGGAGACGATCGTCAAAATGTTATATTTGATAAGAGCCAACATGTTCGCAATACCATTGCGCCGCAGTATTTTTTTTTTCATATATCGTCCTTTCACAGATGTTATGCAAGTGTATATGCTTCGTTGTCACTTCAATTTTCTTACATATAGACGTAAATGTGAATGCCACGTTGCCGATATTCGCATTGTCTTCAAAATAGGCCTTTCCGGCTTTTCTGATGAATTCTTCAAACCGCTTGTGTATTGGGCGCATCAGAGAAAAAGTTTTTTTGGGAAAAGTGTTGTACGCATATGTGTAGTTTGCAAATATTGTTTAGAAGAATATGTTATCTAATATTTCAATGAAAAATTTTTCATATGTATTTTCAACATGGAAAAGGGTTTTTAATTCGGTGCAGGAAGAAGTAATCTTTGCAGAAGGATTCAGTGTCATGATAGTAACTGTTCCTTATCGTTTCCATCTCATACTGAAGAATGCTCCGCTTTATTTTTGCACATACTTTCACCATGCAAAAGGGTTTTTAGTTTAGTCCAAGCAGCACGACAAAAGTTTTGCAAAGGGAGTCAGCATCACGCCAACGACATTTTTCTACAAATATTATGTTGACTTGACCGAATTGACCATATGGTAAAAGTATATAAAATTATATATTTCATAAAAATGAAATAGAGCATTTTTCATTCAGGGATGAAAACAATGTGGAACTATTGCTATTGCACTAATTTCCTTTTGTAAAAATTACAGCGCATTGACTGCTGAATTTATATGATTAACTTACGTGCCAAAATAAAGTGAAACATTATTCAGTGCGTGAACGAAAATAATACCTCAAATTTTCATTACAAATTATACAGAAAGCTCACATATTAGGTAACATATTCTTCAAAACAATATTCGCAAACTACACTTATGTATACAACACTCTTTTTTAAACAAAATTTTTTATTGTCACCTAGATATTTTTTCTTCTTTGTTTCACATTGAGCAATGCTCCAATTAATTTTCGCACGCACATTTACTATGCAAAATGTATACCGAATAAAATACATTTACTATGCAAATGTATTTTATTCGGTCCATCCAGTATGACGTAATTTTTGCAGAAATAGGTCTGCATAATAATGGCGCTAAATATTTATTGTTTTCGTCTCATATTAAGCAATGTTTCACTTTACTTTTGCACGTGCGTTCACTATGCGAAGGAATTTTCAATTCCGTCCAGCCAGTGCGAGGTAATTTTGCAGATAGGAGTCTGTGTCATAGTGCTTGTAATACCTTATATTTTCATCTCATACTAACCATTGTTTATATAAACGTGAAACGGTATAATTAGCATTTTATATCCATAACATGTATTCCTCCCGTAAAATTTACGACGTATGTACTTAAAAACGATTTTGCGCGGTAAGAATACTTCCAATACTAAATTGCTATATTTTAGGAGGAAGTTGATCATTATTTCATATTTATATCACATTTATAAAGGAAGCATATGTATTATATAACACTTGTAACAATCTTTTCAAACATCATTTATATACAACATTCATCCTTGCGAAGATATGGATTTATTATGGTGCACCTTGTATACCAGTAGATTAAAAGAATCCGTCAGAAAATCGTCAAAGGCATAATTCGGAGAGAATATCGGCAGCGTTGCATTCACATTTACGTATGTTTTATGTGTGGGAAAGTTAAACTGGCAACGTAGCACACATATTTACATAAATACATACAAAACATGTGAAATAATAGCAATATCATGTCAGCGCTTATTTGACGCGATCGTCTTTATTCCATTTATATATATATATATATATATATATATATATATATATATATATATATATAAATTTAATAACGTCGGTAAATAATGATAACGTTTTCTTAACTTCTGATAACTTTTTGACGATCGCTCTACGTTATCGACGCTTAGCGAGTTTATCATCCAATCCAGCATCGCCTTAAGCCGATTGAAATACAAATAAATACAAAGTGACAAATATTTGGGAAGTAACATTGTGCGCTCAACATATTACATACTATACGAAAGCGATAACATATTCTTGGTTTGCTTTCGGAATATTAATCGCTGAAATGAGAACTTATTAAAAGCTTTTCTGTAATTCGAGAATGAAGACATTAATATATTCCGAAGATTTTAATATATTCCGGAAATATCAAAGCGACGTGCTCCAAAGTTTGCAACCACCTCTAGATTGAACAACATAAGTGAACACGTGAAGAATTACGCCCCGCACATTCTGGCGCTTACCGGTCCACCTGGCACGAGACCAGCGCTGGTACACTTCGCGCACCTCCTCACGAAGAATAATTCGTTGCTGATCTGCGGCGATATCTTTCCGGTACGACAGAAGACGCAATTTGATTTTCAATCCGTTATTTTTCCACCCTTATGCAAAATATATGAAATACATAAATATATATTAGGTGCATAACTTTGCTTCCGCCGTTTTTTTTTCCGAAATTCGAGGCTTTATTGTAAAAAACTGGTTATATATTTATGATTCAAAGTATTGTCCATATTTATTGTAAAAAACTGGTTATATATTTATGATTCAAAGTATTGTCCATCGCTGGCCACTTTCTCCTATCTTTCAGGCAGCGTATGAATCCCGCGTCGAAAAAATTGGTCATCTTTTGAGGCGATCCACGAATCGATCCAATTTTTTACTCCCTTATAAGACCGGAAGTGCTGGTCAACCAGGCCGTGTGCCATTGATCGAAACAAGTGATAGTCAGAGGGAGCAACGTCTGGAGAATACGGCAGGTGGGGTAGGACTTCCCATTTCAACGTTTCCAAGTATGTCTTGACCACTTTCGCAACATGGGGTCAAGCATTGTCATGCTGCAAAATCACTTTATCGTGTCTCTCGTTGTATTGCGGCCGTTTGTCTTTCAATGCTCGGCTTAAACGCATCAATTGCGTTCGATACCGATCGCCTGTGATTGTTTCAGTCGGTTTTAATAGCTCATAATACACTACGCCGAGCTGGTCCCACCAAATACAGAGCATGACCTTGGAGTCGTGAATATTCGGTTTGGCCGTCGATGTGGAAGCATGGCCAGGAACTCTCCATGATTTTTTGCGCTTGGGGTTATCGTAATGAACCCATTTTTCGTCCCCAGTCACAATGCGATGCAGAAATCCCTTCCGTCTTTGCCTTTCAAGCAGCTGTTCACAAGCAAAC